CCGGGGTTTGGCGAGAAGCCATGCAGAGAAAGGGTATAATTGGAGAAAGGGCCTCGAGGTGGCGACCAGCCCCGTGAAAGAATCCCGAGTGGCCGAGGCCGAGGGAAGAGCCCGCCTGGGGAGTGTAAGATGAGCCCCTGTTCACGGAGCTGCAGCGGACATTGTGCCGGGGAATGGGGGAGCCCCAGGCGGCACTAGAGCAGGGGAGTGACTCAGCCAGATCTGAGTAGAAGGCGGCTTTGGGTCTGGGAGTGGGACAGGGTGGGAAGGGTGAAAAGGGAGGAGAGGGCCTGGCAGGAGGCTGCTGTGATTGGTGTGTGTGGCAAGGGGGTGCGGGGAACGGAGGCAGTGGCCCTGGGGGTAGAAAGGAGGGGCAATGAGTCCAGGACTTGCCACCTGAGTGTCGGACAAGGACGAGGGAAGGATGCAGCCACTTCCCCTTCCCACTTACACAGAAGGCCAGGAGGGAGGGAGGAGATGAGACCAGGGATGCTGGTCGAATGCACTGGGACAGAGCCCAGCTGATACCCCCTGCCTGGAGCTGAGTCCCGGCAGGTGGGGGCAGGAGGAGAAGGCGGGGGACATACACTCCAATACGCTTCCAATGAAAGCTCCAGTGCACGCCTCACCCAGGGCTCAAGGTTTGGGGTGCTCAGGGGCATTGTGCCCAGACCCAGCCTGTGATCAGGTGCTCCCTAGTGTCCATAGCGGGCAGGAGTCCAAGCCTCATTTGGACCAGTTAGTTCATTCCTGATGTATTCACTCATTTGACACTTATGTCAATTGTGTGCCTGGCACAGTTCTAGGCTCCACCCAGCAGAGAACAGCCAGACAGGGATCCCTGCCTCACGCTCCTCGCTTGCATTTCAGTGGAGGACACACATCTGAGACACAGATCTAGGAAGCTGGCTCCTCGAGGGTGTTGTGAGGCAGAGCACGGCGGGAAGGAGGCAGGGGGGGCAGGGAGCCTGTCCTAGACAGCGTGGCCTTGGAGGGAGGCCTCGGGGCCTAGCACGCTGTGAAGGACCCAGCAGCCCAGGCAGATCCCTGGGGAACGATGTCCTAGCCCTTCGTCAGTATCCTCACCCAACCCGGCTTCTTCCCACTCCCGGCTGGTCTGGCCCGTCTCCCTCCAAGTCTCCGGCTCACGCAGGGCCCCTCTCCCTCCCCTCGATGCCGTTCGATTCAACCCCTCCTTGCCTCACCTCTGGGATGCAAGCAGAGGACTTGCATCCAACAATCTCTGCCTCCTAGATCCGTATGGTCCCAATCAACTCATTTTGCTCCAATCAACCAACATTTCCTGAGCGTCCCCAGTGCACTAGACCCCACAGAGGTGGGTAGATAAAGTCCTTGCCTGCAAGGATCGTGCTGCCAGATGGAAGGGACAATGGACGTGGTGGCCATGTAGGAAGCCTGGGGTCCAGGGAGCCCGGAGCAGCCCTGATGCAGCAGGGAGGGCTGGGGAGCCCTTCTGGAGAAGCCGGTGCAGACCTTGAGGGAGACACCAAACCAGGCAGAGCGAAGAACCAGTGCAAAAACAGTACAAATAAGATGGAGAGAGAGCTCGGCCCGTGGGGAAACTGCAGTGGCTCAGAAAGAGCACCAGGGGGCGTTGACAAGAGAGCAGCACCTCCCTGCACCTGTCAGCGCAGTCACAGCTGAGACCACCTGCCTACGCCAGTGTCTTTGCGGGGTCACGCCACCCCCCTCCCCCCACTCCCCAGGGCACATGGCTGGCTGACGTGGAGTTCGTGGAGTCGAAAGCTGTAGATCCCTCCCTCCGCCACGCCCACCCACTGGCCCCTCTTCTCCCTCCAGGAGAGCACCTGGCCGTACCTGTTTGGAGCCATCGCCATCCCCGCCTTGGTCCAGCTGGTGAGCCTGCCCTTCCTCCCGGAGAGCCCGCGCTACCTGCTGTGTGAGAAGCACGACCAGGCAGCGGCTGAGAAAGGTAGGGCTCGGCCTTTCCCACTCGGCTCCGGCGGCTACAGAGTCAGTGCACAGGGCGTGTGGAGACCTGGGCCACCCCTCTCTGCAGGCATGGCGCTGGGGGCCCTGGGGCACCCTAAGCCATTTCCTCTTCCCCGCAGCCTGCTCTGGTGGCCCAGGGAGGGGACTGGCCACATGGGGAGCCTTGAAAAGCCAGGACAGAGCAGGACAGGACCCAGGTCTGCTTCCTTCCGTGCCGCGGTGTCTCCATGGGGTGTCCCAACCGCAGAGATGGCGGAACACAGACCTCTTAGTGGTTGGGTCTATGCTGGCT